GCGAAAAATTCAATGGTGATGACTTGGCTTGTGAACTCCATGGACGAGGATATTAGCTCCAACTATATGTGCTACTTTACGGCTAAGAAGCTCTGGGACAACGTGAATCAGATGTACTCTGATTTGGGAAATCAGTCTCAGATCTACGAATTGACTCTAAAACTTGGTGAGATTCGGCAGGGAGAAGACTCGATCACCAAGTATTTCAACTCATTAAAGCGCATTTGGCAGGACATGAATCTATTCAATGATTATGAATGGAAATGCACTGAAGATGCCAATCACTACAAACGGATCGTGGAGGCTCATCGTATTTACAAATTTCTTGCTAGGCTCAACGTGGAATTTGATGAAGTACGAGGACGGATCATTGGCAGTACTCCACTTCCTCCAATTGGTGAAGTGTTTGCTGAGGTTCGAAGAGAAGAGAGCCTCAAACATGTAATGTTGGGGAAGAAGACTACCAGCGGACCTGTTGAAAGTTTTGCCTTTATTGTTGCCGAGACTGCTACTAATAAAGCAGTCAACAAACCACGCTATACTCGAGAGAACTGCTGGAAAATCCACGGAAAACCAGTGAATTGAAAGAGTAGCAAGCCTGGTGACAGAAATAGGCGTGCGGTTCCTACTGCCAATGAAGCTTGAGACAAATCCCTTAAGCAAGGAACAGATGGATCACCTTCTAAAGCTGCTGAAATTTAATTCCTCATCTGGTATTCCTAATGTTTTTCTTGCACAAACAGGTAGTGCACTTAATGCTCTTTCTTATTGTTTAAATTATACTCCATGGATCATCGATTCTGGAGCCTCTGATCATATGACCAGCCTTTCCAATCTTTTTAGCACTTACTCACCATATTCTGGTCTTGAAAAAATTAGAATTGCATATGGTAGTTTCTCACCTATTGCAGGAAAATGTTTGATAAAACTATCCGAGAATATAAATCTTAAAAATGTTCTCCATGTCCCTAAACTAGCCTGTAACCTTTTGTCTGTGAGTAAACTAACCAAATAATCTAATTGTTGTGTAATTTTCTGTGATTCTTACTGTGAATTTTAGGACCGGAGCTCGGGGAAAAAGATTGACAGTGCTAAGATAATAGATGGACTTTACTACTTTGATGGGGACTTCTCCAGTAATAAAAAGGCTCAGGGCCTTAGTAGTGTTAGTTCTAACTCTGTTTATGAACAAATAATGTTTTGGCATTTAAGATTAGGACATCCTAACTTTTCATATCTTAAACATTTGTTTCCTACTTTATTGAAAGGTTTGGATTGTTCATCGTTCTATTGTGAAAGTTGTTACTTATCTAAGAGTCATCGTATTACTTATTTGCCAAAACCTTATACTTCTTCAAAACCATTTTATTTAATACATAGTGATGTTTGGGGACCTTCAAGAGTTACTACTATCTCTAGGAAAAAATGGTTTGTTACTTTTATAGATGATTGGGGAGTTTTTTTGAAAGAAAATGGTATTCATCATCGGTCTACGTGTGTGGATACCCCTCTGTATTAGCACACCATTCACGAGTTTACACAAGTTCAGAATACACAAGTTCAGAATACACGTACATACCTAGCTGGCCTATTTAATAATTTCCTATTTTACTACAGCATTTGACCAATATTCTATTTACAGAAAATATTCTCCAAATATTATATTTACAGCTAATAATATTTGGTAGTTTTACTACCAAATCTTTTCTTTTCAACACTCCCCCTCAAGCTGGTTTGAAGATATCCTCCATAGCCAGCTTGCCAATTAGTCGGTCGAACTGTCTTGTAGGAAGTCCCTTTATAAGCACATCTGCAACTTGCTCTGTAGTAGGAATGTATGGCATACAGATTAATCCATTTTCGAGTTTTTCCTTGATGAAGTGTTTGTCTACCTCCACGTGCTTTGTTCTGTCATGAAGCACTGGATTGTGAGCGATCAAAATAGCAGCTTTATTGTCACGGTACAATTTCATAGGCAATGGATTAGAGACCTTTAATTCATCCAATAGTCTCTTAATCCATAACACCTCACAAATTCCATGAGGCCGAGTTTAGATCAATTGCTCATGGAATTTGTGAGGTGTTATGAATTAAGAGACTATTGGATGAATTAAAGGTCTCTAATCCATTGCCTATGAAATTGTACTGTGACAATAAATCTACTATTTCGATCGCTCACAATCCAGTGCTTCATGACAGAACAAAGCATGTGGAGGTAGACAAACACTCCATCAAGGAAAAGCTCAAAAATGAATTAATCTGTATGCCATACATTCCTACTACCGAGCAAGTCGCAGATGTGCTTACAAAGGGATTTCCTATAAGATAGTTCGACCGACTAATTGGCAAGCTGGCTATGAAGGATATCTTCAAACCAGCTTGAGGGGGAGTGTTGAAAAGGAAAGATTTGGTAGTAATACTACCAAATATTATTAGCTGTAAATATAATATTTGGAGAATATTTTCTGTAAATAAAATATTGGTCAAATGCTGTAGTAAAATAGGAAATTATTAAATAGGCCAGCTAGGTATGTACGTGTATTCTCTCCTATGAAGAGAACCTGTATAAACTCGTGAATGGTGTGCTAATACAGAGAAAAAGATTTTTCTATTTTTCTTTCCTTTATAGTTTATAATTTCAATGGGAAACTAGGAATTAATTTTGGAGGCTTTCAAAATCTCGGTAGAATTACTCTCTCAAAATAATTTAGGAAGAATGAACTTCATTGATTTTATGGCCAACTGTAGCCCTTTGGAGATATTAGATCTGGTTGCTAACCAATTCAAAGAGGTCAACTTTAGATCTTCAAAATAATCAATTCACGGGCACAATTCCTGCTGCTATAGGAAATCTTCAAATATTACAACGGGTAATTCTTGGAGGAAATACATTTTATGGGAAAATTGCAAAATCTATAGAAAATTTATCATTGGTGATATAACTTCAATTAGATGTTTAGAAGCACGAACATAACTAAAATGACAAAGAATCCGTGTCAGACATACCAAATTTACACTTCACTGAAAATAGTATATGCTATTTGTGTGCATTATAAATAGTATTTCTGTATTTTCCATTCAATTTTTGTCACGAAGGTATAATACCCTGGTAATTTGCATTCCTTCATCAGTTAGAAAACTTCAACAAATTTACACTTGCACCCGAAAAAAAATAAATAAATCCTACCAAACCTTGGCTTATATAAGGTTAATGGAACATACAAGCAGACCTCAATCAGTTTGAAAAGTTTTTGGAAATTAGTAGTTTTGGTACTTCCAAAAAAGTGCATCATGAAGAATGTTTAATGGATCCAACCATGTGCTTAACCCTATCCCTGCCTTTGGTACAAGTGAATCTTTATCAAGGTAGATTAAAACATTTTAAGGGTCTTAAAAAAAGGGGGGAAAAAAAAAAAGAAAAAAAAGTAAAAGAGATATTAATCTCTCTCTACATATATGTTTTTGTGTTTTTTGAAGTGGATAAAATCAAAGATAAAAAAAGAATTGTGACCTTTTGTACTTTTTATTTCCATACAAAAAACAAATTTCAGCTATTCAATGCTAAATTCCATACCAAAGGATTTTTACAACAAGCACCAATTTAATTCTCTCTCAAACCTTCTAAACAACTCTCTCTCTTTCTCTGAGAGTACAAGGCAATACACGAGAATGAAGAACAGGAGAACAAAGAACACCACCATGTGGTCCTTGTATCATTCTCCCCATTATCCATGGCCATCGATCTAGAGTACTCTTCTAAGCAAGAAGCTGATCAAGGTGAAAAATATAAAGAATCATGCAAAATTGATTGACTGGAGTCTTTTTTGCTTTGATTTTATAAAGACTTGTGCAGTTGAAGAGCTGAAGACAGCTAGGAGACAAGATTTCAATTCACAGACAACGAAGTATAAAATAATATTTGTTCTAATAAAACAAAAATAAAAAATCGTCCTAAAATTAGTGTAAAGAAAAATAACTACTTAGACAAATATATGAATCAAAATATTGATTGGTGATATTTTCATTGAATACAATTACAATTTTCTATCACATGTAAATATATTTAAGAAACCATACACAGCTTAAAATACAATAATAATAATTAAGAACATGTAATCATAAATACCCGCGGAAGCCATTAAAGAAAGCAGAACAACCAGCGAGAAGTCAAACAATGTACAAGATTTGCAAATGAACGTTTTGCTTAATCTTCCACCTTCTCCACTAAACTCACGAGTTTATTTAATGAGGCAAAACTAACCAAATGCATCTTCCTTCTGCACTAAACTCACGAGTTTATTTAACGACGCAAAACTAACAAAATGCATCTTCCACCTTCTGCACTGAGTTTATTTAATGGGGCAAAACTAACCAAATGCAAGCACACCGTGTGAGAGTGTGAACCAAATAATATATATATAATATTTGATAAAATCCTTACCATCAGGGATTATCAAATCACAATAAACCCAACGTAACCGTGAGTTATGTTTAGCGCATTATAAGTAACTGCATATAATGCTAATATATATTATATATATTTATATCTTTATCCATATATCTCATAACACATGATTACATATGACTAAAATATACCATAATTCATATATTTAACAATCACAATTGAATTGGGTATCTAGCAGCATGCATGAAATTATACACATTGATTTAAACAAAAAGAAAAGAAATAAAAAGAATAAGAGAATTTAACATATATATAAAATAAAAATAAAAATAAAAATAAAAATAAAAAAAGAGAAAAAAAAAAATTATGGTTTAATTAATAACAAATTTTAAGAGGAACATTATTTAAAATCTATTTGAAATATAAATATAAATAATAAAAATTAGTATGAATATATAGCATGAGGCCCTCTGGGCCTTAATGGGCTCTCCCTGTATGGAAAGGTAACTCAACTTTTTAAAAATAAAATACCATTATACCAAGACTTTCAACGACTTAGAAATTACCAGAAGCTACTAGAAAAGTCTCACATATTCCTCACCTTTCCAGAAACTTCACATACCCACATCTATAAAATCCCCACAACACTCTCCTCCCGACAACACATAGATTCAACAAAACAATCAATCACATTCACAGCAAAACCAAACAGAAGAAAATGGAATTCAGGCCAATGGGTTTCGACGCCCCAATCTTCCACGCCCTTCAGCACATCCTGGACGCCACCGACGAATCCGACAAGTCCTCCAACGCTCCGACTCGCACATACGTCCGCGACGCCAAGGCCATGGCCACAACACCGGCCGACGTGAAGGAGTACCCGAATTCGTACGTGTTCGTGGTGGACATGCCGGGGCTGAAGTCAGGGGACATCAAGGTGCAGGTGGAGGACGACAATGTGCTGCTGATAAGTGGTGAGAGAAAGAGAGAGGAAGAGAAAGAGGGGGTTAACTACGTGAGGATGGAGAGGAGGGTTGGGAAATTCATGAGGAAGTTTGTGTTGCCTGAAAATGCAAATACTGATGCAATCTCCGCAGTTTGTCGGGACGGTGTGCTTACTGCTACCGTTCACAAGTTGCCTCCTCCGGAACCCAAGAAGCCCAAGACCATTGAGGTCAAGATTGCTTGAAATTCTCACATCATCCTTATCAATGTCCTCGTCTGTCGATGTCCTCGTCTTTCTTTGTTAAATGTGTTTTCTGTTTGTTATGGTATTGTTTCCTTTCTGATGTGAAAGTTCGAGTATTTATATAAATCAATGCAATATGTTGTCTTTTCAAAAGATTTTTTTTTTTTTTTTTTTTTTGAAATTTTAATCTTCCATTTATTTTCTTCCCCTAAACAGTTGTAAACATAATACCAAAGCCAAGATCAGGCATAATCTCACTCAAATAAAACAATCAATGAGATCAAAGGATCTAATACATTGCGGCATTAAAATATCAAAACTAGAATTTTGTTTATCTTTTGTTGTTGTTGTTGCTGCGTATGTGCAAGGCAAGCTGTGAATGTAACAACACTTTGGACATTTTCGTGAAGTGAAGAAACACTAAAAGCTTGTTTTTGCTTACAGGTTTCTTCTTACTAATAGAAAGTTTATTTGTGCCAAGAGCTACTATAGTAGCCTTTCTGGTACTTCTTGTTGACACTTGTGAGTGATTGACGATGCTCTTCCTAACGAATAACGCAATGAAGAAGCCTTCTTTATCCTCAACCGGGTCTGTCCGAAGCAAATGTTGAGCTGCAACACAACAGGAAGAAAAAAGAAGTGTCATCTAAAAATACATGATAATCACTAATCAGCCAATCTGAATATAGTAAAGAAAATAAGAAAGAAAATGCAGGAAAACACAAGCATGCATAGATCTGCCTATATGAATATAATAAGGAAAAAGTGACCGACCCTTGTATAAATGAATTAAAAGGCTATTGAATAAAATAAATACAACAACAATGAAGATCAAACAACGGTAAATTGCATATTGTGTTGATGGAGCAAGACTTGGTTTAAGACCATTACATGACAGAGTCGAGGTTTGCTTAAAAAAGGAAAAATAATCATATAGGGATGCTTTCTCTTGATAACGAAAAATGAAGATCAACCAATACTATTTGGAGAGCAAAATGTCAAATGTTTCAGACGACAACTTACATCCCTCAAAAACGGGGAGTCCACGGCGGGGCCACTGGGGTAAGGGTGTTGCCAATTGAAAACCATAGGATGCTGCAAGAGGTAAAACAGATTCGACAACATCTTCATTTTCTATTTTGTGGATGGAGCATGTGCTGTAAACGATTCTCTCCACTGCTGGAACTACAAAAAATAAAAATGTGAATCACATTGTATTGGATGTTTCACTCCATGTGAGAAGATTATACTACATTCCTTATGAGGTTTACCAGAAATCACATGCGAACAATATTTTGGAAATCGATGAAAAACCAAGAAAGAGCAAAAATCCAGTTAAAAAAACTTACAAGATAATGCATGCTCAAGAGCCTTCTTTTGAAAACCAGCAAGCTTTTTCAGTCGATCTATGTCAGCCGTATCGGCACTACCTGTGTAATTGTATTATTGCAAAAGAGATCAATGACTAAAAGATACTGCATGAGACAAAATTTCATCCAAAACATAATAACAATGAAAAAAAATAAAAATAAAAATCAAGCTGTTTGTTATATAATCTTACAACTCTTGCATATAGGAGCTGCATATGATATGTGACATGAACTAAAGCCATGAAGATGAATGGTTGTTCTCTATTTTTGGACAAGCAGTTTTAAGCTGTATCATGATAGTCAATTTTCTTGGTTATATCATTCATATATTACTTTTTACAGTGTAAAAAAGATATCGGCAACTACTAATATTAGTGATGAAAACAAAAGCTATCCCTAGCAGTGGATCCGACTCTCAAAGAACAAATTACATCAATGTGGAGAAGAAAGGTATTTCCTAATATGAAGTTTCTTATTAAAAGGTCTATTTCACAGAACCAGTAGTTTAATAATAATTGACTTGTGCTAACAAATAAATGAGAGCCAGCCAGCAACAGCTTAATAGGAAACAGAAGAGTAAGAGGTTAAAAGGAATGAGATCAGAAAGATGAAAAAGTGAACCTCAAAAGACACAGACTGATACTTACCTGTACTATAAGATGGGAGGAGATGATCCAGTCTCTCTGTAGCAGTCCCCGATCCAGAGCACGAAGGATCTAAAAGTATAGCACGAATCTACACAAAAAAGAGTGCTCGCAAAGAGAGAACATATATAATATCAGTGGAGTCCAGTACATGCAGTCAGAGGCGAAGGATCACAGTGCTTAAAAACTGCAGTGAACAGTGTAAGTTTAACATAATGTTCCTAGGTGCATATTCTGACCTCTGCCTAAGTTTAATACATGACAAGTTCCATCAGAACCAGCCCAGACCGGACGATTCAACCAGTGAACTGGCAAACCAGATGCTGCGCAAGCTGGTTCAGACCACAGAATCAAGGTGTTCATACAATCAATATTTAACCTCTCCCCAAACAGGATAGGTTAGCAAAGTCAAAACTGTGGTTGAACTGGTAGACCCTTGACCTGGCAATAGCGATGGGTCATTTGGCCACTCCAGTTCCAATGACTAATGCCCAAAATTGTGAATTAGAGAACTTCAACACTCCAATAACATAAAAATGCAACCCAGAATACCTTTGAGAATGAAGCATTTTTTGGATTCAAGTTCAAGAAGTCTCCATGCAGAACTTCCACATCTAGAATCTAGGTTAAGTTTATCAACACAAAACCTGATAAAGTGAAAACAGACAAGCTAAGAAATGCTAACAGATCTGCAAAGTATTCTCCCGAAGGTGGTAGATGATATTTGAAAAGAAGAGATTAAGTAAAATGCTGAACCATAAGGTATACAATATTTACAAGCACAATTAGGAATTTACTTGAATGTTATACGCACTCATGCATGTATATCATGTATATGGTTTAAAGTATATACCAGCCCCATTAGGAATTTACTTACATATTATACACATGCATGTATATCAATCTACAGTTTGATTGGTCATCATTTCACAGACCTATAGGTAGTTTTAGACAAGCTTCCTTTGATGTAGATACCTGCATGCCAAGGATTCTTTCACAATCTGGGACATTAATTTACCTACTAAAATATCCCATCTCCACCCAAGGTCCCAGCATTACAATTCCATTTTTGTCTAAATTGAGTAAATGGGCTTCTAACTGAAATATTTTGTTACTGACCCTTCCAGGACCTTGACTTGTCACATGAGTGAATTTCATATTTCCTAAGTGAAAAGAATATAAATATCTTCATGTACCAAGCGCTTGTGGAGGAATGGAATATGTGGTGATTCAAGAGACAACTATCATTATTCATGATAATTATATTTTACTGAACAAATGTTCATTATAATTCATTAGAATGATAATATATTATACAGTTGATTACTTTTTTTTTATTACAAAAATAAACAATATCTATATTTTCCTTTGACAAGCTAATAGATAATACAAAATGTAAGCAACTAATAGAGGCGGATGACATTTACAGGAAAAGACAGCCACTAAAAGGATACTAGAAGCCCCAGCCAGTTTGATAGTGCCTTCTAACCGTTTAACCCTCTCCTCATTAAGTTCACAAGCTATAATCTTTCCCTTTCCTCCCATAAGAGCGGCAAGATGTACCGTTTTGTTTCCGGGGGCGGCACATGCATCAAGAACCTTCAACAGAATAAATTGATCATTGGTTAAGCAATTGATGAGAATGCAAAAAACAATGGACTCGTGATTCCAGACCCTGATAATACAAATAAAACATATGCATAACTAACCTCCCATCCTGGTTCGGGCCTAAGAGCTACTGCAACCATGGAACTTGCCTTGCCCTGATGGGGGGAGGAATATTCATATAAATCAAGAAAAAGAATTAAAAAGTAAGACTAGCGCTGTGCGTGTGTGTGTGTGTGTGTGTGTGTGTGTGAGAGAGAGAGAGAGAGAGAGAGAGAGAGAGAGAGTCTTATTATGAATACTTCACAGGGAAAAAGAACGCACCCATCAAGTGGCTTTTAAACCTTAAAAGTAAACATAAATAGTAAAGTTCTTACTTGCATAAAGACACTTCCGTTCACAACCAAAGGATGATTGTGCAAATCAGTACCAGGTGGCAGTACCAACAAGTCAGGAACCACATCATCCTTGTGAACCTGTTTGATACAGAACTATAGAAGCATGATCTAAAACAAAATAACCAAAACAAATAAAAAAGTTATCCAAAAAGAGAAGCATGCCTCAAAAGTTTACCATGTTCCCATTTTATAATAACCTAAAAAATTGACCAAGTATAATATAAGGCCAATGTTAAGGAAACATAACGTAGGTATACAGTATACACTAGATTTTAGCTATTAAAAGTTCTCTTGCTATAACTGCATAAATTATAATGTGGAATGCCACAACAAATATTTCGAAATTGTTTCGCAATGTTTCTAATTATTCAGTCTTTTATTCAGTTCTCTTTTCCATTAATTGTAATAATGTTGCAACAAACATGAAATAAACCAGTGCATAAAACGAAGTACGAGCAGTGTCCTTAAATTAAATTTGGGGCTTTCCGCACCATTAGCCTTCATATACTTTTTTTTTTTTTTCTTTTTCCATAAGCATCATTAGCCTTCAAATCACCTGTTGCACCTAGTGCTAATTCACTCGAGACTCAAAAGTGGTGGTTTAGGATGTCTCCAGCTTTTCTCATAAGAAGAATGAAAGTAGTAATAGAAAAAAGAAAGAAAACAAATTGTGCCCTGCAAAATTAAGGTCCCAATGGTCAAGAAGTGAGGGTGATGAAGAAAGTAAAAAGAAGGATTAAAGCCAAACCCTTATGTCATTCATCATTAAAATAGACCACATTCAACATTATAAGACATTGAAGCTTTATGAACGATACGAGCTAGAAAAAGGAAGAACTTAGCAGTGCATGAAACCATAGCACATCTTTACTATTTGCTAAAGGCCAGGCTAGAAGGCAAGCCCATTCCTCCTTTACACAAGAAAATCCAACTCTTGACAATACCACTCACTTTTTTTCTCTCTCTCTCTCTCTCTTTTCCCTTGGCAAGAAACACATTCACACACCCACTTGCCCCTATGGGGACTTGAACCCTCAACCTTCTACTTTGGAAGGTGAGTAAGTAACACTAGGCTGCAGCCTTTGGCAGTTATACCACTCACTTTTATTTTCTCTTGCCAAAAATACCCCAATGATATCTTTTTATTATTTGCTGGGAAAGATCCTACTTCTCAAGTGCAATTGTTCCTGTTCTATGCCATAAACTCTTGTCCTTTATGAATAACTCAAATAAAACTCTCATTTTCAACAGTACCCCATTTTGATATGAATGGAAGATCTAATCAGTTATCACAGGCAATGTGTCATAACCATCACATTGCATGACTCTAACCTGCCACAACCACAACAATTTGCACACACGTCAGTCTATCCTCTCCCCCAAGTATGTTCTTATTAAAAAAAAAAAAAAAAAAAAAAAAAAAAAAGGAGAACTAAATGATTTAACAGAGCCGTGAAAATGGCACATGCTAGTTGAATTTGATAGTTTAAGCAGCACTTGCATTTTAAGCTCATAAATTTACAGTATACTTCTACAAGAGTGCTGATGCCATGTTCAGTAACATGACACAAATTTGAAATATTTGAAGCAACACTTTGAGATGGGAACTGTGGAATGAAGGAAACACACCTGTATTGATGCTTACATGGAAAGAAGAACATAAAAATAGCCAATACAGGTTGATACACACACACACACACAGAGTGTGTGCTATTCTAATAAGTGGAAGACCAAGTAGTGATTGGGAAAAGGCTTTGTTGAGTCGTTGACTTGGAAGACAAAGTAGTGCAATAATAAATAATTTATTCTTTTTTCTTTTTTTTTTTGGTAAAACAAAGAATTCATTATGTACCTTTCACGTCTAATCATCACAGAAGACGAATTGAAATAGTTCTCACTAAAAAGTAATGAATTAATCATTATAAGGTGTCAGAGCATTCTAAAACCACTCATTATAATTCTATTATTTATTTAATTTCATAGAGGTTAGGAGAAAGTACCGTGTTTTGTTTCCCTAATTCGTGTAAGGCAGACTGAATATCCAATTTCAGAGTATTTACACGAACATAACGAGGTTTGGAAATATCTGCAACAGAAACAAAACGTAACTTACAGACAATATTTTTACAAGTGGCACAGTATCTACTGTCCACCTCAGTGCCTAATATCTCTTTAAGTAAATAACAAGATTAACTGAGACAAACACCAGGCACAGTTCCTACAAACCAATAATTATATTAAAATGAACTCTAAACTCAGACTAAAAGTAAACTGGAACTTGCAGATTACATCAATTAATATGTGAGGACAAAGCTAATCAGAGCATTGACCATCAACTTCTTCTACTAACAAGTGAGATTAAACCATCAGAACATTTATGCCTATTATGGATTCCCTTTATTGATTTCACTTTTCCGAGAACATTTCATAAGGCAGACATGATTGCTAACATGACATGTTCACAAGGCCTTCTAAAATTGACGTAAAATAACTCCAAAGCTTAATTATCTAATGTAAGTATCTCTACACCATTATAACTTTATGACACAGCCCATTGGCCTCCAGAAGGACAGAATTCACCACAAATCAGAAAGCAGTATGAGCGCAGACCAGGAATTTCATAGAGAGCCATCAAGTCTCTGACATTTTTCAGTCTCTTTCTCACTAAAAACCGAGCTAGAGCGGACTGTAGAGCATCTTTTCTGAGCAAGAGAAACTTTTCTGCATCACCAGCTAATGAATCTACCTGTAGAACAGAGTTCAAGTCAAATGATCACTAAAAAGTCATAACACGGAGCAATGCCACAAATGAGAGGTATAGCACGGACTTTTTGGCAAACACTCCCTCCATCCCAAATTAAACGTCCCTTTTCAGGAATCTAACCTTTTAAAAGGACGAGTTTTAGTATTTTTGTAGCAAATGAATTACCAAAATATCCATAGTGGGTCCACATGGATGTTATTGTTTACTTTTATAAGTTCAATGCAAGAAGCTTAAATTGGTAATGTTACAAAAAATAGTACTTTGACTTTTCGAAGGAGATATTTATTTTGGGAGCCAAAAATGGAAAGGTGGACATTTTTTTTTTGGGACAGAGGGAATAATGTTTATTAATTTAGTGCAACCCAATTTACATCACCGATTCACCATGATTTATTAAGTGAGGCTGCATTATTCAACCATTCTATAATAACTATGTAGTCTAAGATTCAGGACACATAAGAAATGCCAACCTGCATAGCTTCTGGGCCCAGACATCAGCAAAGCATAGTAGTGATACATTAAAAGTGAATAGACAAAATATAATTTAATTTTAAAAAATAGCAATTTCTATTTTACATCTACTAAAGAATCATTTTTGCAATTCTAAAGCCAACACACTTTTTCACAAGGCAATGAATTCTGTAAAACTGAAATCTAAGTACATGTACATGTCATTGTAGGATATATGCTGGTTTTTAGACTATATAAAATCATTTTGTCACAGAAGGGCATGTTTTTCCTCTTTCATTCCATCCACTAGCAACCTTTCATTAATTACTTTACGCAGATGAGTGCGTACATGCCACAAATATAGTGGCACACTTTAAAAATTAACATTTTAAAAATCAAAGCAGTCATGAAGAGGAAAAGCAATAACCTGGCCAAATAGAATGTCATATGCGATTATGTACATCAATTCCCCTTGCCTCTGCAACAACATTAGATGCAATGTTAGTAATTAAACAAAACATCATACTAAAAAAAAAAAAAAAGTTATCATTTTCACATCTGACTCATAACACATTTATTTTACATGGCTTAGAGGTAATTTGAAGGTACTTCAAGCATGTGGAATAAAATGAAAGATCAAAAAATAATGAGAAAGTAACATTTGGTCTCTCTTTGCTTATCTAGTACCAAAAATTCAATGGGTCTCGTTGGGATTATTTTGAGAACTTATTCTGATGATTGTAGCTTTAATACAGAAGTAGTTATGCGGGATATATTCCGTTGGTCTACCCCCACTCCCCTAAGAATTGAGTTCAGCAACAGGGTTGTTCTCTTGGCCCTCTCTTGGGTATCCAAGGCAACTTGGTATCGGGGAAATTTTTGGATATCAGAATGCTCATATCATTGTTGTAGTCTAAAGACCAGAAAGAATGGAATCTGCTATAGGAACCAAGATCCTAGCTCGTTCCAAAGTCTTGAAGGAGAGGTTGGGCGGGTACTTTGTAACATCCCCATGGTGGGGGCTTTTTCAGTGGTCATTAAGTGGTTTACATCAGCCAGTGATTGGTTAAACACCAGGGGTTCTTGTCCCACATCAGATAGGGGTGGAATGCGTCTTTGGGCTTATAAGGGTGGGAAGGCAGCAGGCCCGGCAATGAGGGTGTCGCAAGTTCGAGTGGCATAGTATGTCACGGACTTACAGTTCTTGTTCCACATTGGATAGGGATGGGTCGGACAGCTTAAGCTTTTGGGCAGATGGCAAGCGCCCAGGCCTTTACTGTGCTTTTGCATTATTGTCATTACTTTTTCATGTGTGCGTTTTTCTTTTCTTTTATTTCCTTTTTAATCATGGGGTTCAGGTTGGCTTCTTACTTTAGAACCTTGAGAGAGAATAAATAAATAAATAAATAAAAGGAAGAAGAAGAAGAAACAAAAAAAAAGAAGGTAAGATTCAACATTACAAGAAGCAATTATAAAAGATCAATTCATATGGGCGAAAAGAGAATGATAGTAACTGCAACAGAAGGAAATAAGGCAGAGCAGAACTAGAACAATACAAATTCAACAATTTCTAAAACCACTGTACTACTATGTCTTAATTATATAGATCATAGAAAATATTCTTTTACCTTCCACTTGCCATTCAATATACTTGACGCCTCTATAACATCTTTGATAATTGGAAGATCTGAAACATAATATAAAAAAATAATAATAATAATAATAATAATCAATTGCCAAGTTCCAAGAATTTTTGAAGAAATAAATCAGTGCAACACAAAAAAGAATACCAAATGCACCAAAAACAAAAGGGTCATATATAATTCATATTTAAGTGCCAGCAATGACATGAGAAATGCAAACAAATTCAAGGCAACAAGAAAAGACATGATAGACTAAACTATACCAAACAATACAGCTCTAAATAGAATATAACAGCAAAAGAGAATTTGTGTAATCCCATAGTGGTTCAAAACGAGGGCATAGTTGAGTAAATTAACTAAATCTGAAAATTCACCATTACCACTTCAAACACTAAAAAGTTAGATGTAAGTAACCCCAATGATTCAATCTGAATTATTTTTGTTCATATCCAATTTCAAAGGTTCTAAGAACAAGAGCAAATTAAACATGCACATTTGTAAGAGCGTGTGTTGCTAACATACACTTGAGGGTTTGGCACACCAGAGCGAAGGTGGCTTTCTTGTTCCTGACGGAGGGGCTGTAAACGAGTGACTTGATGGAGCCGACAGCACGGCGGCGGGAGTCACCTTGGAGAACGCACCGCAAGACCTTCGCCGCCTCTCTCCGCGCGAAGTACGACGACCGCTCCGCTTTGCTTAGTCGCCGGTTTGACTTCTCGGCGGCCACAGGCTTCTTCATACGCACCATTCTTCACTCGAACGAGACTGCACAGAGAGAGAGAGAAAGGGAGAGAGAGAGAGAGAGATAGGAGGATTTATGGGGCGGGTAATTAGGATCGGGTTTTTATCTACTGATGACCAGTTACTCAAAAAGGGTCGGAGTCCAAAGTGATTCAAGAAACCCGGTTCTGTTTTTTTTTTTTTTGTTTTTTTTTTTTTTGGTTTTTCTAATTTAGTTGAGTCAGTAAACAAATCCGTTCTTTGGCTTGTTGAGAGGAAATCTGTCACAAAGGTGAAACTACTAACTTCTGTGACTCTGTAGTTTTTGAATTAATTAAAGAGGTCTAAGTAATTATATTATGAGTCCGAAATCGGACATTAAATCATTATTCTTATATTATTTTAAAAATAATAATAATAATAATTGTATTATAATTCATATCTCAAAAGAGACTAGTGAAATTTTTTATAATAAAAAAAAAATCATATTTATAGAGACTTGTAGTAAATCAATCAAATTAGGAAAAAATATTCACTTTATGTAATACCATTCTTTCAAATGCCCTAACTCCTTCAAAGCGCTGGAGCCTCTAACCAGTGTAAAAGCAACTGAATCATTATTGATTGCGGAAATCAACCCAACCATAAGCTTAGGGGAAGTATCTTTCAAAAGAAGAGGCATCATTGATAAAAGAGAACCAAGTAAAACATATAAGACATTAACTTTTATTGATAACATCGTAGTAGATACAAATATGAGCACCATAGACCCTGTCACCGTCATCGATTCGAGTCCAAAGAGCTACTAAATTACATCCATCAAGAAACACAATCCCAATTCCAAAGCAGCGCTATACAATGTTGACATATTTCAGCAGTGTTATATAACTTTGGTTACAGCAAGTTACAGTGCCATATCCTGTATACACCCATTTAGCAAAATATGTAGTCTAAAAATTGCATCCTACAGTCATCAGAACCTCATAGTGTCATTCAAAAAGATAACATCGGGGTTTCTTATATGTAAATTCAATGTTGCCAACTCTTTCCATTTAGCTTTTGTACATTGAACATGGGAGGAGATGCTCCACAAAATATCCCCAGGTTGCTTCCTTCTCATCACTTGTAAAGATGATTTTACTATTGCATTTGAGTTCAAATGTGGATGCTTGTTAGTCTTACTCTTACCTATGCAGCTAGCTAGAAGCCAGCGAGCCCCCGACTGTTGCTGTGTTCTGGTACCCCAAAGCTGCTGCATGCCAGGCTCAGCATTCAAACCTGCAACATGAACCTCAGTGATTTTGAACAGAGGAATGCCGCCTTCTTCAACCCTTTTCTCCTCATTTTCTTCAGCATTAATCAACTGCTCATATGTATCATCATATTCCCTACTGCTGCTTCTTTGTGATCCTGTGAAGAATACTTTTGGTTTTGAAGGAAGGAAAATCCTCTCCACCTGAATCAAAGCAAGCATTGGAGCACCAACTGCTTCATAGTCTCGGAGGGGATCTCTGAGCTGCACCATAAGAGCTACTGTAAAGTTGTTCCCCAAAAAGCCACCCTCTGTACCAGATGGTTTGCCCCATTTGCTGTCTATTGTCAACGTTCCACTAATTATATCCATACATTTAGCATGGTGCGCTGCCAGGATCTTGGAAGTTCGCTCATCGATTTCATCTCCATCACCAAAACCTCCAGCATCCAGCATCATCCACTCATCCAATGTTAGAGATAAGCTAATTAATTCATCAATATCATCGTCTTTGCCTTTGACATCCAACGGTTGCAACCCAGTAGCTCCTTCTAAACCGAAAGGCACACTAACCTGGGCACTCTCGCCTAAAAGAAATGAGGTTTCGGCAATAGGCTGGGGCCTAATTCTTGAAGGTGCTTCCTCATCTGACATGCCAGACTGAATTCTCAATCCTTCAATTGAAAGGGCTTCAATCTTATCCATTGCCAAAGGAGCAAGATCCTTGAGAGAAACATAATCAGAATCCATCTCACTACATATTGAGCTTGAGGTGAGGTCATCATAATTCCGGTCAGAAGGGAATTCTTCAATTTTCTTTATCATACCAAATGAGTCTTGCCCAACTTCTAATTCCTGCTGCAAAAAGTGCAACCTGCCACACCAACCATAAACGAATTTAATTCATCGTTAATTGAAACATAAAATAGAGAGATGGAAATAATAGAATACTTTAAACCAACAAATCAGTAAAACTAATAAAGTGAGAAACCTTTCGGGAACCTCCAATATAGATGCAACTTCCCACGTTACTTGTTGCATCGTCTTCCCAGTAACATCTTCCAGTGGCATTAATTTATTTGCCTGCATAGACATCTTTTCAGGTCCAACTGTTGCCCAGTGCTGTAATATCTCCATAATACTGGAACCCATTGCAGCAGGTAGCACAACTGGGGCAGAAACTTGCATGATCAAACTCAAACCATTCTTAGCAGTTCTGAAAAGTGAGGGACTCATAGATCGCAAATAACCTCCATTCTTTGTCTGAACAATTGGACCCAAGCCTTTTACAAGAGGAGGAAATTCCAATGGCTCTTCAGGGGGAAGATAGACTGGACTTCCAAAACCACCAGAGCTAGATTTTGAAGAACTCCGAAAGACCCTCTCATTCAGACCCCATTCCTGTAACAAAACTTCAGTTTCCAAGTTCTCAAGGATTTTGGCATTCCTTTTACTTCTCAATGATTCATTCAAGCTCTTATGGTCCATTTCAGCAGCTCCAGTTGGAGCAGCACCACCAAATTCCACCTGCTCTTCCATCGTGTCAAAATCAAAAATGAAGTTTCCAGAAGCTAACGTATCCTCTTCAAACTGCCTCAAAAGACGCTCTCTAGGAGACTCAGGCTCTGGGTGAGTATGAGAAGAGTATAATGGACTCTGCTCTATCCCTAACATATTTAGGAAATCATTTGCCACAGATTCTGTAACATCATCCAAGCTAAGTGATTTTACCATCCTACCAGCTTTATAACTTGATTTAGTCCTAGTGTAGTTTTCTGCTTCACTTAACTCACTCGTATCTAGTGAAGTATCGAATTCTGTTGATTCTGACATAAACAGGTTATGAATAACTGATTCAACTTCTTCAATGGTCGATTCTTTTGTACACATGTCATTTTCTTCACATCTGTTGTCATCCACCAAGACCTCATCTTTGAAATTAACATGGAGTTCATCCCTTGAATTACATCCTGTCTCCTCAGTAAGAGCCGTCACGTCACCCTGGAAGATCGTAGCCACATCAATAATTTCAATTGCAGAACCATCAAAAGTTTGAGCAGCACCTTCTACTTTCAGCTGTTCCTTCATAGACGATTCAATCCCCTGCTCAATAATTGTAAACTCAATATTGTCGCTCCCATTTTCATTATCATTACGAGGGGACTCAGGAAAATAACAAGGCTCTGGTTTGATGGGATCTACATGTTCAAAAAAGTAATCAAACTCTTGTGAACTACCCAACTTTGCCTCATCAAGTTTCTGGTATAAGTAAGTTACTGACCGAGCAAGCTCCAATCCTTGATCTGGAAAAACTTCGTTTAGAATTTTCGTATCTGAAAATTGGGATAGAGGGTAGGACACTTGGTTTGAATTATTTGGAACACTCCCAACCTTCCGAAGCATGCCATTACTACTACTCTGACTAATATCTACAAAATGATCCATTGTACTCTCCCTATGCTCCTTCAAACGCTTAGGAAAAGCCATGTTAGTTCTTGATTCATATGAATTATCTCCCATCACCGAAAACCCAAAACTAACATTCAGCATAGCGCCTTTAGCCTTGCCTGTGAGCTTAAAGCTTGTCGTCCACTTTCCTGAGCTCTTCTCCTCTTCCAACTCTTCCAAAGTAAGTGGAAGCAACCTTGTAAGATCAATCCAGTGCTTCCCAATATCAAGCCCAGGAGCTCCAATCACAGAAGCATAAAGCCAAAAAAGCTTAGGCTCATACTTTGCCGAACGGTGGGGCCCATTTTTACTGCTATATACTGAACATCGATGCATCAAAGTCTCTTCAAATTCAACCATCCCCTGACAAACCCGAGCTGGGCGTGTTCGCAACACCTCATCCTTCCTTTTCCATTGAACACATAAACAAATGTCATTGAAATTTGCTGGTAACCCTTCAATGGTGTGTACATGGAGAAAGAAAGAACAACTGAACCGGCGATTCTTAATGTGAGCGAGAGCCTTTAAGGGCTTCCAGTTCCATAGTGATGATTTCTTGTCCTTGTGCAACAAGTCATCGTTGTAAATTTTAGATTTTGATTCCGATGAACGTGCTTTACCAGTGGACTTGGCCCGATGAGTGGATGGTGAAATCAAAGCCTTTGGAGGGATGTTATGCAGATAAAGAGCTTTGCTTATTTCCTCAATGTCACGCAATAACCTACCACTACTAGACCCCCCATTGTTTTCCCCAGATTCAACTTTGGACAACATCACCTTCACATCAATAATACAAAATCTTAATTTTTGAAAAAAATAATAATAATACAAAATCTTGACAAAGGTAAACAAATATCAAGATCAGAATTTATAAAAATAAAAATAAAAATAAAACCTATGTTAGAATGCTGATAGAATAGAAGAAAATGTAGGTTATCTATACTTTTTTTTTTGCTTTTTTGTCTAGAAATTGTAAGATCATCAACTAAATTCTTTGTAAAAAGAGAAATTTAAGATTTGCAATCACAATTTCTTATCTTTTTCAGTAACCAAATAAGTAATCAGAAGCAAATCAGATCCCTTCAGTGTCTATTCGTTCACACATATGTATACACATGTATATATACAGATATATATAAATATAGATAGATAGATAGATCGATCAGAAATGCCCAATACAAATGCGTGAAGCATGTAACTAGATCAATCAAACGAGTCAGTGATGCTTACCAAAATTGAAAGTCAATGTCTGCGAAATTGAGTTTTACGTCTCAGCACTACTCTGATCTTTGTATGCAATTTGAAGAAGAGTGAGAGGAACTGTTAATCCGAGACCTTTGGGAAAAAATACAGTTAGTTTAGCCGCTAAAATTCCTCGAAAATCGTAGTTCCCTCCCTCTCTCAAACGAAGCGCAAAAATCAAGACGGAACTCTTCTGCCCTAAACGACGTTTTTGTTTGCTCTTCTTTTTGTTTTGATTTTATAGCATGTGAAACGACTATTTAGTATAGTAGTTTTGTCTTGGGTTTTAAAGCGTAAATTACACTTTGACAAGAATAAATAAAAGGAGTGTTATTCAATGATATAGCTCTCCTACTTTTTGCCAGGGAAAAAAATAATATTTGACACTGAATACAAAAAACAGGTTGACCGCCTTGCTTCTCTCGTGGTACAATCCTCTTCTTGCGAGCCCCCTTTCTACTCTTTGTAATGTTTTTTTGAGGGGACTTCTCGTCGAAGATCTTGGGACTTTAGACTCACAAAGAAAAGGGACCGCTTGTGAAGTCCATCATATGGTTTGAACATAATTTTGGATAATTTTTATTTTAAAATTATTTTTAACTCAATTTCTTTCACAAGAGTAGTTATGCAGTTTTATTATTATGCTAAAATCTAAATTATAAAATGGAAAAAATTCACTTCTTTTTTCAGAGGTTTTTTTTGAAATGCCGGGTGTTGCACAAAATAATTCAACAGGGTAGGTAGGAATTTTTTTGATTCTACAGAACTTGAATCTTCATCATCTATTATGTAAGCTAAAAGAGATACTATTATGCTACAACACATTAGAGAAAGAAATGTTTGTGGTAGAAAATTGGTCAAGGTAGTTGTGAATCTCAATTACTTGAATTTTGCATTCAATGCTCTACAAAGCCTACTATTTATAGTACCGAGTCTTTTGGTTAATACCCAAATGTTCCAATTTTGCTTCGCTAATAATGAGAACTTAGCTTTCCAGACCATGATCAGGCTAGCATTGCTTTTGCCGCCTAAGGGGTCAAATACCGAGTTACCTTTTTGTAGTGTGGCAACGACACATTAAATAACGTAGTTAAGCTTTAAATGCATTCGGCTATTTGACAGTATTAATGATAGAATTGTAGCATTAATTGTGACATTAAAGGTTTTTATCTAGTTTGTGTTTCCCATTCCCTTAGTTGGCCTCATAATCCAAGATGTGCTCCAGTTTCTCATCCTCCATTTTAGAATCATTCTAAGTATTTCAAAAGAATACTATATGTTGGGTCCTACCGTCCTACCTATGTTCCCTACCTTGACATCCGTATTCTTCGTAAGATTGAGTAGTGTAACTTAGTTTTTTTTTTTTTTTTTTTTTTGTAAGATTCGAGACATGTCTTTGGAAGTTAGGGACTCGAGATAGGTGCTTGAGGTTTTAGGAGTCGAGGCATGTTGTTCGAGGATATATTGTTTCAATGTTTTATGACTCGAGGCATGTTGCTTGAGGTTTAGGACTCGGGATACATTGCTTAAGGTTCATGATTTGAGGGATGTCACTCGAGGTTGTGCCCGAGGTATTTCACTTGGGGCTTGTGCTTGAGGTTTGAGATTCGACTACTACCTCTTGAGGGTTTTAGTTTTGATGTGAGATCGATTCTGGTTTTCTTTAAGTCTGCTTTGACTTTGGTGTTGACATGATTTGGATAAATTACATTGACCTCTTATGAGATTTAAGCAAATTACATACATTTGACCTTTATTACTTTTGTTGGGATTTATATGCCCTGGCATAGCAAATTCCTGTTTGGATTAATTGACATATGTTCCTGATGTTTCTGAAATATTTATGTTTTATACAATTGGTGAATTCAATGTATTATATTTCGATTCATTATAGAATTGATAGTGTCCATTTGATTACAAGAGATATTTATATATATGTATGTGATGACAATCAATGCATGATATATAAATAGTAATCATAAATTGTTCATAGTCAGTAATTATGGATGGACTCATAATTAATTAAGACTTGAACTAGATCCGCGTTAGGTTGAGATATATTGCGAGAGCCGTCGTATGCAATTGCTCCCTATCACCGTCATAGCATTTGACTCTTAAGCATGAGAAAATTATAGACTCTTTTATTAATTAATAATTACTTTGATTTGTTCGGCGGATTCTTCGGGATCCTTAGACCGACACTTTGGGTAGTTATGTGATTAATAGTTAGAGGGTTATATTTTCAATATTTGCATCATTGCTACTTGTATTTATTTTGTATTGATTATGGTTGATCACAAAGTAAATTCGAAGGCCTTCGTATGATTTTAGACAAAATGATTTATTATATATTTATTTATTAAATTATTATTTTTGTCAAACAAATGTTTTATTGTGATCGAGCCAGATATAATCAAAGGTACCAAAATAAATATATTAATTAAGTAGTCGGATTGATGGCATTATTTATCCGATAACTAATTATGCATAGAGGGGTCAAAGTGCAACATTGACTTAGAGGTTATTTATTATTTAATTGGAGTTCAATTAATTTCTTTTAGTGGAGTAGAAATTAATTTATGAATTAATTGAATTGGGTCCATGGACCGGGCCAATTATTAATTCATTGTAGCCAATAAAATAATAGGCCCAATGGATTCTCACTCATAGCCCAACTTGATATTGGAATCATATTAGATTTGAGACATATGAATTAGAGATGGAGAAGGATTTGTTGTTTCCTTTTCTTTATTTTTATGTTGCCTATAAATATACATGGTCTATGTATATTTTAGGGGTGATTTTTAATGAGAAGGAAAAAGGAATTTATTTTCTCTCTCTAGAAAATTAGGGTTTATGTTCTCATCTAATGGAGGCTCCCACAAGCCTAGTTTTCCAAGGTCATTCATGGAGGCTTATGAGTGATTCCTAAAGGCAAAACAATTAGCAAGAAGATGGAGATCCAAGAAGAAGGCATCTTGCTAAGGGATCTACAATAAGTGAGAACATTCACTTTAGAGGAAAGTTTTAAAGGTTTACTCAGACTTTTGATATAAGTATTCAATCTGTTAATTGAATGATATATCATATTTTTATTTTTGCATAAAACTTGTCTCTACGTAATGAATCAAGATTTATGAATCAAAATCCCTCGAAAAGTTTTTAAAACTAGCACGTTTCCTAACAGTGGTATCAGAGCATGATTTGATTCATTACTAGAGATCATGATTTTATGAAAATTCATCATTCATGGATCCAATTTTGATATGCATATATTTATTTATTGATGTATGTTGACGTATGAATTAATATATTGATATATATTGATACATGATGATGTATGTATAATTGTGAATGGATGATGATATGTATTTTGGGCCATGGATGAAGTTTATAGGAATATTGAATGTAATTTTATCTTTGGATGAATGTAATTAAGGCTTTGATTTAGCCGTTTGAAAGTTCAATGATGTAATTTAATTTTTTCCATTGTATTTCAAATTGTAAATTTATTTAAAGCTATGTAATATTCATCAAAGGGTGCTATGAAGCTTCAAGAAGGTCCAAGAGGGTTAAATTAGGCTTCAAGAATTTTCTGGAATTTTTTAGAAATTTTTCTAGAATTTTTAGAGCCTAAATTTAATTTTTCTGGAATTTTTTATAATTTTTGGCGCTTTTCCGGCAATATTCCGACGACCAGAGAGGCGTAATCCCATGTGACGCGGATTGGAAGGAATATCAATACACCCAATGAGAGTGCACGCGCCGAAGTTAGTGGACAGGTCTTACAAGCTGGCGCTTGAGGACCACGCGCCAGCCAAAGCAAGAGGTTCAGCAACTGGCGCGTGCACTGCACGCGCCAGACAATGGATTTTTCAACCAGGCGCGTGTGGACCACGCGCCTGCTATTTCAAGCCCCACATGGCGCATGGCAGCGCGTGGCGCTGCCACGCGCTGCCAAGGTCTTCTCGCGCGTGCAGGCGCGTAGAGAAGCTTTGGCGCGCGTGAGAGGCGCGTGGGGCTGCTGGGAACAAGGTTTTAATGGCTGCGGGTGCTATTTTGTTTTTCCTGACGCGTACCAGCTTCCTATAGGTGTTAACAAGCCGTTGGAGGACGCCCGTATAATTCTTAGAGCAATTAAATGTTAAAAGCTGATTCCATTGGCCGTTTTTATTTGCTTTATCTGTCATTTATTGATGTATGTGATGCATGTAATTGATAATTGTTGATTAATTATTACTCATGCATTGGATCCATGATATTTATTTAAATGGCTTGATTTACATTAATTAAATTATGAAAATTAATTGGATAAGATTACTAATTAATTTGAGGGCACTTATTGGGAAACGAAAAATTATTTTTGTAAATTATTTTTAAAGTGCGCTTCAAATTAAATATTAGTGAATCATTTAAAGTCCAAATATTTTCTAAATTTAATGGGATTAAAATCAAGACGTTTTGCATGCATTATATCATGTAAATTGAAAACCCTAATTATTAATGACTAAAAATTGAGTGGGAGCGGGGATTTTTATACATTACCCTATGGCCTTCGTTATTAAAACCATTGTAATTAGATCTTCAAAAATAAGGCCCCACGCATGATTTGAAGAGTATTAATATTACAAGAATGGTTGTCTCATGAAAATAAAAATATTAAATGTTCATTGTAATTAGATCTTTAAAAATAAGGCCCTACGCATGATTTAAAGAGTCTAGATTATAATGACAACATATTTAATGTTTTATTTTTCATTAGAGTATTAATAATGTTGTACACTCAATCTAAAATCAATAGTGTTAGCTCCCCAACGGAGTGGTCTACACTAGGTGATTTTAGAAAGGCTAAACATAATCAGGAATCATTTCATATAGATAGACAAGGCATTGTCTTAAGAGATATGGAGATGATGGGATTTGCCCGCCAATAGCAATAATGAACTTCGCCAACCGAATAAGTTATTGGTGTATTGGTTATCCGATTTTTCATGCAGTGGTTAAGGGACCCACATACTATTTTAATGGAAGTGCTCACCTAATAGTAAATGAATTTCAACAATAGTAATAATGAACTCCTCCAACAGGATAAGTTATTGACATATTGATTGGTTGATTTATTATGCTACAGAGTTGAGGGACCCGCATTAATTAAAAGGGATTGTTTACCAATAATGATAATGATCTCTTGTTCGATTGAGATTTATTATATTATGTGGTTAACAAACTCATTTTAATTTTAAATATGCATGACAGTATTAATAATTCACCTTGCATATTG